ACCAAAAAAAAAAACTTTGACAATCTAAATATAGAAACCATATTTACTGCATTTATAATACACGAAATTTTAAAAAAGTCATACTTCAATTTAAAAATTTGTTTATTAGAGATATTATTGGGATTGTGGATAAGTCCATAATTATCATGATTAATTTAAAAATTAATTGATTAGAGATATTATAGGGATATGTGGATAAGTCACAATTGGATCCATGATTATTATTACATAATTATGATTGTTTGGTATAAAATCATATGCACTACCACTACTCAACAATTCACGTCATTCACAGTTTAGAAAAAAAGAAAAAAAGAAAAACCGAGATAAATTTTACAGAGAAAAAAAAAAAACCGAGATAAATTTTATAGAGAAAAAAAAGATTAAATTTCAGAACACATTGATAATAAATGCCGCCAGTCTGGATACACTCGATTCCGTGAGTAGAAGAAACAAGCCTTTTTTGCACTTGAAAGCAGTCCTAATAGTTGAAACGCATCACCAACGGGAGAGTTAGTCCTAATAGTTGAAATGCATCACCAACGGGAGAGTTGGAACGCATTCCATATACTATCATTCCATATACTATTTCATGATGAACAGGTAAATATTTATATTTGTAATATCAAATTTATGTAATTTTTAAAAAAAAAATTAATTCATATTTATAAATTTATACTGTAGGGTATATTCATTAAAGGGATACTACGTTCCAAACATATGGGAGCATTTCAAGGTGTACTGAACGAAGGCGAGGTGTATGCGATCAGCAACTATGTCGTTGAATTTAATAATGGGAAGAAGGATATCATAACCAACATATGGAAACTTGTGCTTCATGGAAGAACTCATGTTATCAAATATGGTGGGATTTTCACTCAAAATGTTGATATTTTCCCTCAACATTAGCAAGGAGCAGGAGATATTTATGATATTTAGAGTTTTATTATTATGAATTTTAAATTTCATTCCATGTCGTTGAATTCCGAATTCTATAATAAATTTTAGTGTTATTATATTTGTTATCGTTATAAAATGTCGTTGGATATTTTTTTTTTATTAAATGTCGCATGAATGTGAAAATTTAAATATTTATTTTTGAGTTCTACTGTATATTAGTTTAAAATTGGTAGAATGCCATGATACAAGATATAAATTAATCAAATTTTAACAAATATTTCAAATATAAGATTATATAAAAAAAATTACGGAATTAACAATAACTGAATTAAGTACATTTAATAGATTATATTGCGTGATTTTTCAATAATTTATCATAATGAATTATATTCATAAATACGAATATGAATTTTGATTATAATATTTATATTAATTTGTGTTATATATAAATTATTATTATTATTAAAATTTTTACGTAAAAATATGGAAAGATTTGTTTGACGTAAAATATTATAATATTTGTTTGACGTAAAAAACTTTTCAACAATTTTTTTTTGTATCACATTGGTACGGACAGAAATTTAATTGAAAGATGTTAATTATGTAACGATGCTATCACACAAAAATCTCCACTTCTTAACTACTTTGCACTTATCTTATTACCATACATGATAAATCATGATTGCAAATTACAATTTGATTTCAAAATTGTTTTAGGTTTTTATTGACCGAGTATCACTCTTTGAATTCCATTTGAGTTCAAAATTGGTGTATTTTTTATTTGAACAAAAAAATTTATGGAATTAACAATAACTAAATCAAGTACATTTAATGGATTATATTGCGTGATTTTTCAATAATTTATCATAATGATTATATTCATAAATATGAATTTGATTATAATATTTATTTTAATTTGTGTTATATATAAATTATTATTATTAAAATCTTGACGTAAAATGATGGAAATATTTGTTTGAATTAAAATTTTGACGTACAAAATTTTTGACGTAATTATATTATTTATTTGATGTAAAAAATTTTCAAGAATTTTGTTTTATTACGTTGGTATGGACCGAAATTTAATGGAAAGATTGATGGTGATGGTAATTATGTAATGATGCTATCACACAAAAATCTCCACTTCTTAACTACTTTCCACTTATCTTATCATCATAAAAGTTTCTGTCCATACCAACGTGATAATCATTTGTGTTTGGATTGACTGAAATATATTCCATTTGAATTCAATGTCATTTATTGAAAAAACATAACAAATGCAGAGTACTACGGTGGATAAATCTAGAGTTAACAATTTGATAAATCACGGTTTACTAATCTTATCATGATATTAGAGTTTGAATTTATTGGAACTCTGAAATTAAAATCACGTGCAATGAATCTTATCAGGAGATGTTAACGTGAGTTTAACTAATCTTATCATCTAATGGTTATCTACTTTCATCCCATGGCTATAAAATAAACGTCGAAGCCTATATCACGTATCACAAAAATCTCACACTACAATTTCACATACAAACAGAAAAATTGCGAGAGCATGGGGAAACATCAAGCAAGTAACAAGGATCAACAGGCCAATGCTCAAGTTGAGGGTGGTTCAAGTTTTTCAAAGGACTAATCAATACTCATCCTACAAGAACATCCTTGAAATTGTCTTTCATGACATTGAGGTTTAATTCATAATAAAAAATAATGATTATCCATTTTTCTCATCATGTTAATTATAATATCTAATATTATTTTTCTTTTCTTTTTTTTTTTTTCAGGGAGGTCGAATTACTGGAATAGTAAAGCAATCAACATCCCAACTTTCATCAATGAATTCGAAGAAGGTGATGTCTATGCATTTCGAAACTATCAAGTCGAGAGTAATATCGGAATGTATAGATCCACCATTGATAATTCGTGCTTCTCTAATAATATGGGATGAAGCACCAATAATACACAAGCATTGTTTCGAAGCTGTACAGACATCGCTGCAGGGTATTATGGGAGCAATTGATCCTTTGAACTTGAACAAACCGTTTGGTGGGAAGCCGGTTGTTTTTGGTGGAGATTTTCGAAAAATCCTTCCAGTCATTCTAAAGGGTAGCCGTCAGGACATAGTCAATGCTGCCATTAATTCTTCTGACATATGGAGGAGTTGTACTGTGCTTAGGCTTACGAAAAAATGCGCCTTCAGGGACTTGCTAATTCGGATGAATGTGATGAGCTTGCACGGTTTGCAGATTGGATAGCCAACATCGGAGATGGAACTATCAGAGGGTTGAATTATGGATGTGCACCTATAGACATACCCGAGGACATTTTGCTTCAGCCATCTGATGATTCTATTGCTCAGATAGTTGAAAGCACATGTCCAATGTATAAAGAGGCACCCGACGATCCAAGTTATTTGAAGGATAGGGCTATATTAGTGCCTACGTTGGATGTGGTCGAGTCTATCAATCAGTACATGACATCATTGAATTTGTTGGATGGTCGTATGTACTTCTAATAATGATTTTTTGTCTGATCTCCATACGCCTGAGTTTTTGAATAGTATCAAGTGTTCCGGAATACCGAACCATGAGTTGTATTTGAAGATTGGAACTCCAGTCATGTTGTTGCGGAACATGGATCATTCTATGGGTTTGTGTAATGGGACACGATTGGTAGTGACAAAGCTATCGACTCACGTTCTTGAGTGTAAGATACTCACAGGAGATCATGCTGGTGATAAGGTGTTGATTCCAAGAATGACCATAACTCCTTCTGATGTTAGAATTCCTTTCAAGTTCCAACGGCGACAGTTTCCCATTATGGTTTCTTACGCCATGACTATAAGCAAGAGCCAGGGACAATCCTTATCTCATGTTGGCTTATTCCTTAAGAAACCAGTGTTCAGTCATGGCCAGTTATATGTTGTTGTTTCCCGTGTCACTAAACGAAAAGGTTTGAAAATCTTAATTTGTGGCGAAGATGACGTGCCAAAGAATCAAACCAATAATGTTGTATATAGGGAAGTGTTCAATAATATATGATTTTTTCAATTTAATGATATGTTTATATGTCTATTATTATGATCATAATCATTGCCTGCATAACACAATTTATATACAAAATTGTTTTTTAAAAATATTCTAGAAAATAATATCCCCGTGCATCGCACGGGTGACTACTAGTAGAGTGTAAAAAGTCAGATACTAATAAATGAGAATCAATAATAGGGAAAAGTTAATTCAAACAAACGAGATTAACTTAACCATGCAAATTAAAATTAAAAAAAATTAAGCGCCGGTTGGATATAACTTGTTTGGATATTAATTTTGATTGAAAGTGAATTAAAAGAGAAAAAAAGTAGATAAAAATGGAGTAAGTTTGAGTTTGTGAATGAATATGATATTAAATTTAACGATTAAAGTTGATTTGATTTTTAAATGTTTGATTTTTATTACTTAACTATATTGATGAAAAAGACAATAAATTAGATAAATAATCAATTTTGAGTTAAGAATTTGTATGTAGTTCCGACCAGAAAAATATATCTGACAAACAATTTTTTTTATATCCACCACTACAATGAAAGAATTTCCTAAACAAATCAATTCATATTTCTTTACCATATAAATTGTAAAAAAATACACATATTTACATTTTGACAATATTTGTAACAGTTTTGTTATGAAGCCAACAGTTGGCTCCATAGTGGAGCTTACTTAAATAACACAAATATAATTTTATTAATATGATAGGTTTACTTGTTGTATATAGAAGATTGACTCCACTATAGAGCCAAACTGTTGGTTTCATAGCAAAACCGAAATATCCAAGCAGCAAGAACTAAATTTAGAAGGAGAACTATACAAAAATAGTAAATCTCATTATAGTAAGTCAATAACACACCCACAAAATAGCAAACTACACAACTTGCACAAATACAGCCCAAAACAAACGCCAAAGACACAAAGACGGAAGTTAAAACCAGAAAAACACGTGGAAAAAAAAGAATAAAAAATAAACATAAAGCCTTCCCAACAGGCAAGATGTGTTTTGTAAAAACCAAAATCAACTCAAAATTTATCTGGCTAGCTGCGGAGCTAGTACATAGTGCTTCATATATTGTTCTCGATTATCCTCCCTTTTGGTGATGGCTTTTTCGAGAATTTAACCAAAATCCTACCCGGTTTTATACGGTCAGTAACAACTAACAAGCAGACTTGCATAAAATTCCAAAAATCTGACCGAAATTTGGTGGAAAGATTCATTTTTTCAGCTCGTTCTCTCTCAACTTTCTCCTTCTCAGCAAAAACGTTTTCTCATCGTTAGATGATCACACGCATTTATATACAAGAGTTACTACATCAACACATCCTCCATTCTCACTCAGTTCGAGTAGTGTGTGAGATTGTTTGTCGGTGTCATCAGTGGTTTTTTTTGTCGATTTTGGGCGTAAATTTTATCTGTGATCCTTTTAATTTCGCTCTTTTGTTCAAATTTTCTCAAGATTCAAAATTGTGAATTTCCTGACCTGAAATGGACTCCGATTCATGGGCTCGTATTGCTACTTACTCTAGACGTCGATTATCCCGATCAGGTTTATATTTCTATGGAGTCTTTTACGAAGTTTCGGAAAGATGAACACGTTTTTTGAGCTAATTCTGTAAGGTGGATTTAATGAAAGTATAATTTTACACATTTTTATTCAAGAAAATCGAGCTGGGTTGTGATTATTCTGAAGAGGGTTGTCTAATTTCAAGAATATTGTGGAGAGATGTGCATGAATGTGCGGAAATTTCTTTTATCTGCTGTTGAAATTTGGAAGTTTTGCATCTGTATGACTGTAAAGTTTTGAACTTGGAACTCATTTTGATACTTTGATTCTTGTTATCGTTGGAAATGCATCGCCCTGTTTAGGGTTCTTAGTTTTGGTAATATATATTTGGGTAAGATAACTAAGATGAAAATAATGATTACACTTTTTTCTATACTTACTCACGATTATGTTGCCAATGATGATGATCAAAGAACTGATTGAACTTGAGAAGTTGATACAGGCTTGTCGTATATGGAAGCAAGATAAAAATAGTTTTCAAATTCCTATGTTTGTCCAGAATATTGAATCTGGTTGTTCATATGCTTGGCATTTTACAAAATTGAAACTTGGTTCGTATTCGAATTTTTCACCATCCCCCTTTCTCTTGACTTCATGTTTCAGATGTATATAATGGAGAAGGCTACGAAGTGGAAGAGGAGTCGAATCCTGAGTATATTTGCCCATTTTGTGCTGAGGATTTTGACATGGTGGGCCTTTGCTGTCATATAGATGAAATGCATCCTGTATCGGCCAAGAATGGGGTAGATATTGAATCCTTTTCCTTTGTTCTTGTATTGTGTTTGTTGTGTGTTAATGGCATATTTATCAAGTATTGTAATATTGTGAAACTAAAGTTTTTTGGTAAGGTAAATGATATTTTGACCGATCGAAAGACTGAACTCTAGAGTAGCTACTGTGTTTTAGGGATCTCACTTATGTCATGCTCTTCATTTTTATCTAATGTAGATTATAATGTTATGTTATAACTTAAACTAAGTAGAATATCAGACCTGGAACATAAAAATAGTTTGATATCTTGCCAAGGAGCTAGCTAGGAATAAGTGAAGCCAAAACTTTTTAAGGCCTTTGAAGCAGTGTTTGTTAACTTGCGTATAGGTGTTCAGACAAATTTTTTCTCCTAGAGGAACTGGAAGTAAGTGATTCCATGATTATTTATTTATTTTTTTTGTTGCATAAAATTCCTTGTTTTTGACGATTTGTGATTTGATACAGTATGTTGTAGTAGTCGTGATGTATGTTGCTTCGTGCATGCATATAAAGTTTTTAGGAACTACCTTCAACAATATTCCCACGGCTATGTGTTTTCATGCAATTTATTAGTTTTCACAAATTCATTTCATCTTCCTTTTTCATGTTGATAGTTGTAATTTTCCCAAAAGCATCGACATTTGAGCAAAATGGCACGTACATCAAGAAATGATGACGGGTAGATTTGGAAGAGTATAAGTGTGTGCACTTTGTTATGTGCATTCAGTTTCTGAAGTACCAAATTGTAATGTACTTATGGTATCTGTCTGGTTAATCCATATTTTATTAATTGAGTACTTAACAGATTCCCATTGTTCACCATTTTCTTTTGATTGCCCTAGCCCTACCGGCCAACAAAGTTTTATTTATTTATTTAAAAAAATTTAATTTTTATGATAACAGCCCAATTCCACATTATTGTCTAGGATAATTTGTTTTCTATTTCAATCTCAACAAACTTAATTTTTTTTCCAATGTTTAGCACTTCTTCCATTATCCTTTTTTTTTCGAAAGCCAAGTTTTTCGGTGTTGTCAGATGCTTACAGTTTTATTAAGTCATTTTTAAGTGCACAAATATGATAAAAAATAACAATTATACCATTGTGTGTGTTACTCTTTCTAATCATTTCAATTGTTATCTTAAAAAATTATTTTATATAAGAAACAATAATATACAACCTTTATGTATTCTCAGTTGGTTTATAATTGAGAACAACTGGCATTTTATATATTTCTGGATTGTGCATTGGGCTTAGTTGGAATGGGATTTTCAAGCTATGTTTAAGATGAACTTTTACCCGTACGTGCAGGTGTGCCCTGTTTGTGCGAGAAATGTGGGGTCGGATCTTGTCCGCCATTTGACCGGGCAGCATGCAAGCGTTCTTAAAATATCCTTTTGATTAGATCATTCCTTTATGTTGAGGTTTAAGCTAGTTACAAAGGACCCCCTTTTAAGTTATGAAATTTCAAGCACCTAACTGACAATCTTTTCCTTTGCAAATTGCATCTCAAGTTTTCGTACTTGAGCTTATAATTGAGGGTAGATTTCAAAATTATCCCATATTATTGGTTGATACATGTTTATTTTCTTTGACCTTTGTATTACGTGTCCCGGAGGAGGAGGTTCCTGCGAAGAGGGACTAATTCACCATTTTCAATTCTCAGAAGAGAGTTGAGAGATGGGAGTCTGCAATCCCTTTTTGGTGGGTCCTCACATTTGGGCTTCTCGGCCCATACAGAGCCCGATCCAGTGTTGACCTCGTTCATACTCAGCTCGCCTGTGGTTGACAAATCTTCTAGTGTTCAATCTCTTCCTTCGGTTGAGGCTGGCTCAACTGCCGAGCACTCTGTTCAGAAACTTGAGGATAGGTATTAAAATTTCTTTTTGAATTTTATTTAATCAGTCGTTTTTTTTTTTTTTTTTGAAATGACTGTTGTTTTTCTTAAATCTACGGACCTTAAGAGTGTATTTTTCCTTCTCTTGTATAAATCGGTATGCCCTTTGCTATCTTGAGTTAATCATACAGACATATGTTCTCATCTTGGTATATTAGATTAGATTATTACTGTTTTCAAAACTAATTGATTTTTATCGGTTTGTCGGCAAAATAGATGTGTTGGACTCTCGGAAGAAGACCTGAAAGAGAAGGCCCAAAGGTGCGAATTCGTGCAAGGGCTTTTGTTGTCTACTTTTCCTGATGATAACTTATAAGCAAAGTGTGGTTTGCTTATTCGCGATATCTATATGGAGATCAGATTCAGGAGAGGTAAAGGGCTAGAGCACAACTTAAGCGTAAGACAATATTCTCGGAAAGTTGGAATTTTACTTCTCTGGCTGAGGTTGCCTAATGTATGTGATACCATTACTATGTTGTTATTGTAAGTGCTAATGTATGCGTCAGGTTTGTATATTAGGAGAATTCGATTGATTGTACCTTTTTTTTCCAGACATCCTTCGGAAAGCATAGGAATAAAAACTACGGAACTTATCCTCATTTTAGAAAATTTCACATAGATTAAGACACCTTCACAAATTTTCTTCCATTTCAAATGCTCATCTAATGGCAATTTAATAGACTGTGGGCAGAACTGTGCCCATAATTTTAAAATGATAATTGTTGCCAGGAAAGTGGGTAGCAAACAAGAAATGCTTCAGGCTAAGCGCAACACACAACTTCAAATTGACAACCTAATAAAAGCATAAATTATTTTTCAACAAGTTAAATGTACAATCCTATGCTTGAGCATATTATATAGAAAGCTAAGATGCTGTCTTCATGTTGTACTATTCGTCATCATCAGAAAATAGTCCAGGCACAAAAACAACAGCCAGTGAAAAACATTTCATCTTCTGAAATAGTTACCATATCTGCATCCTATATTGGCTGCAAGAATAACTCCACTTTGCATATTTCTAAAAGTTTCTCAAGCATACAGCTTCATGCTTTTCACCCAACAGCCCATAATTTTCTTTTATCGCCAGTAAGTGTTGTGGGACATGAAGAAGTTGTAATCGGGATGGTTGACTTGCAACAACCTGAGCCAGTTGTCAGCTGCCCGTAAGAGCGAATCGACCTTTTGGCCCTCGAAAACTCCATTCCCATTCCAGTCAGAGACTTTGTATTTGTATGAAACGAGCCCAAAAGTTGGGAGGGAAAGCTTGCTATTGGCGTCATGTATCCGTTCGCCACCTGTTCACATTAGAATTTACTTACACTGAAAATTACAATACTACCTGAGCATTAATTCCTCTTTAATTTCACCAGGATGATATTTCTTTGTTAAATACAGATCTCAAGAGGGTGTCTGTAACCCAAAAAAGGGCGTAATTTTTGTAACTTGAAAACAATAAATGGATATCTAAATTATTAATTTTGGAACTAGTTTAAAACTACCTCTAATGGGTTTTGCGAGAGAATGAAACGTTAAGAAACAGGCGTCGACGTTTTGCAGAGTGGGGCCGACAGGTATCCGGTATATGGGGTACCTGCATAAATAAGGCACCACACCTCTTTTAGATCAGAACAAATAAAAAAAAGATCACAGTACCCAATCCTCTTGATTCCACTAAAAACACTTACCAAGCAACAGAAATCCAACTGGATGGAGTCAGGTCACAGCTTCTGTAAGTTTTGAGCTCGGGCAAGCGGGACGCAAGTTTCGCCATCTGTACAATGGAAAATGAATTATAGAACTTTTACAAATATGGTTGATAACTTGATATATCATGGTAATCATTTAAGTTTAGCCTTAAATTACCTTTTGAAACCAGATACCCACTTATAGTTCTAAAGAATTGGTTAAATCTCCAGGGTAGTTTAGTGTATGACAACTACATCATAGAACATTCATAAAAATAATGGAAATAATAATTGCCACCTACCTTATCAGCTAATGGCTCACGATGAAATGGAAGCTCCTTCTCAAAGTACTCAAAAATAAGCAGACCAGGAGGGTTGCTAGCTGAAGGCACTCGTGCATTATTGTCCCTTGAATTTGTCCCACTTTCACAGTCCCCATCACTACTTGTATCTCTTGATGAATTTGCATCACTCTCCTCGCCAGGCCTTCTGTGACAATTCTAAAACTATGTCAGCATATCAGTAACCATGAAAGAATCCCGCCCATGGTAGTTATAACATTGCACTAAAATTGACAATCAATTTTCCAGCATTGCATAAAAATCCTCAACTAATAGCAAGTATAGTATGCGAAGAAAGTTGCTATTAAACACAAATTAAAGAAGAAACAACGAAAATAATGCAAAAGCATATCATGGAGTCATTCAGGGCAATGCTCTATTCTGCAGGGAAAATAACAGAGAAGACATCGGAAAGGAACATGAAGGGGCCAAAAAAAGGAAATAAACCAACCTTTGTTCCATGACGTGGCTTGTTGGATCTATATACAGCTGGATACCAGACAGGGATGGTACGTAATACTGGACAACTGAATCATTCCCGTTCAAAAGAAGAGGAACTCCAACCCCATAAACACTCCATTCCCTGAAAGATTCCCAAAGGTCCCCAAGTATGAAAAACGGATGGAACCCATTACCACGATTTCTCCACAACCTCATGCTTGTCTGCAGATATCCAAATGCATTATATTTTAATTTCACAGCAAAATTAATAATTTTAAAATGTAATCCTAGATCAAGCTTACTGCATGGTTGTAGTCTGTAGCGTATAAGACAAGTTGCAGTTAAGGTATCTGATTCAAATACTTTAATGAAATGTGCTGATGACATATTCACGGCAGATGATATATTTCTCATATCTCTAACGCAGTCATTGAATGGAAATAAACAGCACTACAAAGAGAAAATAAAGGCCACAAAGAAGCACAACTTGAAAGATTATGAACTATATATCCACATAGATTAAAGAAAATTACATAGACAAAACAAGGGCAGGGAATCAGCTGATATACATGTTTAACAGAGGTAGAGAAGAAGGGATTAAGACAAAGGGATCAAAACTCCATGTTCCATAGAAGCACAAAATCTTTCAACTGCTCGGTTATTTGGATGACCAGAAATCAGAGGACAGAGGGTGCAATAAAACAAAAGCTTACACACATTTTATTATACATGGTTAAACAAAAGCCAAATTTTTCCTATCAATCAATAACACAAATGTCAAGCTAATGAGTAAAGGAGCATCTACAACTCTGAAAACCCCCACTTAAAATCTTCAACGTGATTCAAGTTGAGAATCTTCTTCCATCAACAAGAAGTCCAAAAGATCATAGGAGGCGTTTCCAAACGCCATCTAATTAATTAAATGGCACAAAACACATAAAAAGAACACAGAACTAACTACATACACAGATGATTGCAAGAGAGATTAATCTGACCAAAAAATCTTGACCTAAACTTAAAAAGCTATTATATACTAACAGCATGTAAAGAATGACTCTTTATTAACCTCAAAATGCACTGAACTTTGTTTTTAATTAACAGACTGAAGTTTCAATAAGAAGGCCCAATGCCAAACAGAAATGTTACCCAACCAGTTAACAATAAACATTTAACAAATTAATTAACAAAAGACGAAATAGACTCTCATTCACTTCCATAAAACTTCATCACCACACCTCTATTATTCAAAAGAAGTTCGCCCTTATACTTTATTATTTATTCAAAGTTCCTAAAATCACTAATACCTATTTTGGGCAGTTAAAAAGATAAATTTAAAAACAGAATACCCTAGGAAAATGTTGAGCTGCAACAGAAGGAGTAGTGTGCTCCAAGAACCGATCCAAATACGAATCTGACTCAAATCCTCTTCTTTCCGGCGATGATGAAGGCGAAGACTTAGTTAGCTTCGATTGTTGTTGTTGCTGCTGCAGCTGCTGCTGCTGCTTCTGGTTGTTCCTTCTCATCGCTGGTGGACTGTAATACAATCTTTCCTCCCCAACTCTCCTTCTCGCCGACATCTTCTCCTCTACTCGAAATAACAATTGAACAGCAAAAACTCAATTGGTTGAGCTGTATGTAGATATGTATTCCTGTAGATTTATTTATTTATATAAAAATAAAAAAAATTAAGTGGACATAAATAAAAAAAAAATAAAAGAAGTGGAAAAAAATCAAAAGCACGTATTCTCGGAATACGTTTTCTAAAGAAGAACGTATTATCAAAATACGTTTTTCAATAAAAACGTATTCTGAGAATACGTGTTTCTTAAAAAAAGTAATTAAGGTGATTATCGTAATTAAATTAATTAAAATAGGTTAAAAACGTATTACCGAAATACGTGTTTCTGAAAAAATATTTAAAATTAATATTTTTAATTTTAAAAAACTAATTTTTTTGGAAAATAATATTTGGAAAAATAAAACGTATTC